GAACATGTTTGAGTGTCTGAACCTTGCTGTTATACGGCCCTGTTGTAACTATTATGTCTTTTTCTGTAGGTACAAAGAGCGCATGGTGGAGCTGTCTCAGATACACCTGGACCGCCCTGTTGAGCCTTTGGACCTGGCTGTTTTCTGGTCTGAGTTTGTAATGAGACACAAGGGAGCATCACATCTTAGGGTGGCTGCACATGACTTGAACTGGTTTCAGTACCACAGCCTGGACGTTATCGGCTTTTTAGTTTTTGTTTTTGTCGCCGTTTTGTGGGTGACTCTGAAATCCTGTTTGTTTTGCACTCGCAAGTGTTGCGGGAAGAGAAGTGGAAAGAAAAAATCAGAGTAGTTTCTGCTATTCAGTAAATACTTTGAACACTGCTGTGAAATTTTGTCTGGTGTACTGTAAAATGTATATATGTGATTTGCCAGAACACACCTTTTTTAGTTATTAAACTGAATAAAATTGTAATTAAATTAATAAAACTTATTTCTTGAACTTCATTTATTATTTGTGAAAGAAAATACAGACCTTGAAGGATACATTTATTCAACTTGCCCTGTGAGTTTAAAATGTTTAGTTCTGGTTGAATGGAATGTTGTTGGAATTACCTTTTATGAAAGGCTGAATTAAAATTGTATTTATTTTCAGAGTAAGAGTTTGAAATCACAATAAAACATGTATCTTGAAGTTCTTAGCATATTTTTAAGGTTACCAAAAATGTTTGAAGGTGCATACAAATGTTTTTTTCTGTATTTGACCATTTTGTTTAATCCGTAATAGTTGTTACTATGTAGCTTGAGATGACATTGAAGATTTGGCTTCAGCATGTCTAACACTAGTAATCAGGAAACTTTGTTTGCCTTTGGCAGTGATTAATGAACGTTGGGCATTGACAGAGGAGCAACTGTTTAAACAGTCCCTGTTATATTGGTAGCAGATACTCCTGCTTGCATCATTTTATGTTATTTTAGTTATATCATAATTACCTCGTCTGTTTGTTTGAAGCAAGTATTTTCTAGCCAACTTGCTTATTAGTAGCTATGTCATGTTACATTAAGTTTCTAGTATACTGGCTCTTGTAATTTGAAGAATAACATATTTTGCAGTTTAAAAAAGTAACCTAAATGTATCAGTGTGTATAATACAATGGGCAGTGTTTGCAAAGCATTTTCAAAAATGTTCACCAAAGATCTTTAACCAAAGACTGTTTTCACTATGGCAGAGCCAAGGAACTCAGGAAGGAATTGTTATATTTCAGCCACCAGTATTACATTTACATATTCTAAAATCTGTTGAACTAAAGCTATAAAATTTTAGAGATAAATTATGGGATTTGGAGGATTTAGCTTGCAAGCTGTAGGTGACATTAATCTAATCTCTGTTTTGTCTTGACTTTCTGAACATGATAAAAGAAAAAAAAAACGAAAGAAACAAATGTATAATTATGTATTTTGTATTTCCTTGTAATGCTGTTGCAAACTAACCTTTTTGTTCAGAGTGAGTTTTTTTTTCATTTCAGAGGTTTCTTGCTACAAAATGTATTTCCAGTTTCAGTTGTTTTGGAACACAATTAAAAATAAAAACTAGTAGCACAACTCAAATCAGGGGTTTGGATAAACATAATTTCTCAACAGTATTGTAGCTTTTATGATGTGTGGTTTGCATGATGGCAGGCTGTGTTATTCAAGTTGACCTCTCCGCCATCTTGTTATTGTAGCAATATGCACATTGTTCCTCAATCTCAGGAAGTTGACTGTATGTGTATATAAACACACTCTATTGTGCAAATCACACAGGTGGCCAAAGAAAACAGATTTCTTGCAAGAAAGCAACTGCCTTTTACTTTGTAATTTTGGATTTTGGCCTCAATAGAAACAATCTGAGTTATTTAGCAGGAAGCTTGACTATTTTCTTTTTTTGCATTGAACAGAAAACAGGACTGACTGCTCCCTTGCTTTGTAGTGTTTACTGTGATCTACTTCTTATTTTATTGACATCAGTGTAAAACGGCTTGTAAATGTAACACCAAGTGAAAGTCTAAAACGTACATCTGCCTAAAGCAGGGTTGTTCGACGCCTCAAACTCTTTGGCTTCCTTGTTCACACTAACCACTGCAAATGTTTGTGAAATGAGTACTGAGGCTGAATAAGTTAAACTCTGCTCAGATGCCCCACCAAGTGTACAATATATTTACAACTCTGTCTTTTGTGAGGAAGTCAAACTCTATTTCCTTACAGGATAAGTTTTTACCCTTCCACTTCTTCATATGTTGTCATGTTACATTTGCAAGTTTCTAGTATATTTTGTAACAGGCCCACACAAGGTGTTTTGTAATACTAAAATGGAAGAAACATTACACATCGTAGCTGCAAGATTAGAAATGCAACTGATTTCACAGTTATTTCTTGCATGCAGCAGCAAAGGTGTTAGTGAACTGGAACATATCAACCATCTACCCACAAAGTTTCCGTTTGACATGGATCACACGTTGACTATAAAAGGCGGTGCTGGAAGTCTAAAAGTCATATGTTTTATTCCTTCCGTCTCTGCTATCATGATACATACAAGCACCATCATTTGCATCCTTCTGCTGGCGCCACTGTCTGGTAAAAGTAGTTTTTCTCATATTTTTCCTCTATTTTCTTAATTTATTATAAAATGAACTTTTTTTTTTTCTGATTTGAAAATTTCTCCACATGTCAGGTGCTTCTGGAAGCAGCATAGTTGGAGGCAAAGTTTCCAAGCCCCACTCCAGACCCTACATGGCGTCCCTCCAGTACCAAGACAGACATTCATGTGGTGGAATACTTATTCGGAAGGATTTTGTCCTTACTGCAGCACACTGCAAGTGAGTATGTTTCCCGTGTCACAAAGTTATTTTTATGCAACACATAAAACACATAATTTTATGGTTGGGATTTTTTTTATATATATAGATGAGCTTTTAATGATTTTCAATAATTAATCCCAAACATGTTTTCTTTCTTATCCCAAACAAAACATCAAAAAAAAAAAAAAAAAAAAAAATATAAAGTTTTTTTTTAATATTTTTTAGTATTTCTTTCTGGGGAAAAAGGTTAGCTCTTTTCGAAGTGGTCTTCAATAAAATGGATAAATCTAATTATGTTTTCAGATATCCAGGTGACATGACGGTGGTTCTTGGAGCACATGATCTCAGAAAGAAGGAGAAAAGTCAGCAAAGGATCAAAGTGGCAAAGTTGTGTTCACATTCATTTTACAGTGGAAAATTTGATTTTGACATCATGCTGCTTAGAGTGAGCAAACTGTTGAAAATTCATTTTTGCATTTATTTTTTATACTCCCCCCACGTCAAATAGTGTTTATACATTTTTCCCGTACAAAGAAAAACTAATTCTTGTTCAACAATTTGGTTTTCTGTAGTTGTTTTAGACATCCTGTTGGGCTTTCCGTTGACAATTTTTTTTTTCAATATATTAAAAACCAACCTGAAGAACCTAACCGAGTTAACAATATTCACCTTTCTCTTTTGCAGTGAGAAAGTAATGCCACAAAGAATAAGTACGTGAAGCCTCTGGACCTGCCCAAGAAAGCCAAAAGCAACTCTGACAAACTCAAATGTCTTGTTGCTGGCTGGGGAAGAACTGGATCCAGTGAGCCTGATTCAAATGTTCTGAAAGAAGGGACAGAAACCACTCTGCCCATCACTGACTGTGAAAATATTTGGGGAGAACATTTCAAATCAGAGCAAATGATTTGCACCAGATTTGACAAGAAGAAGGGAGGAGTATGCCAGGTAATGAAATGACGCCACCAATACAGAAACTCATACAAGTGAAATCTTATGTATACTATATTAATTTTATGTGCATCTTACAGTTTTAATGAAACTACTTTCTTCCTCCCCTCTCTTTTTCCTAGGGTGATTCTGGTGGACCTCTAATTTGCAAAAACAAGCTGCAAGGCATAACTGCTTTTACTGCTGAAGGTCAATGTGATAATCCACAGTATCCTCATGTTTTCACGAACATTAACTACTTTCTACCGTGGATCAAGAAAATGATGCAGACTAAATCATTATGCTGAGTAGATCTTTATTTGTGCATTACCAAATTGCAGAAAAGATAATAGCATGAAAATGTTTTCAATTGTCTGTATTTTCTAAATTTACAATAAAAAATTACTCTTGTTAGTTTACCTGCATTTGTTAAATTTTTTCTTGAGTCTTTTTATTCTCTGTTTGTTGAAACACTATGTGAAGTTATTTGTACTTGTCATAAATAACTTACTGCATAGTGGTCACTACAGTGGACAGCTATCTAAAGCCATTTTCTTGTATTTATGTATCATGTTATAAATGCACACAGACCACTGAAGTAGACACTAATGCATCATAAAATACATTATCAAATGCAAGACATTATTTTTGTTAAATCCAATATGGCCGACAGACAAAAAAACATGCCAACCGACCCTGTCTCTCCTTCTACTATACAAATAACTTTGTATTTGGAGAAAATTACAATTGATCACCTAAAAAAAATAAAATCCTTTTTTATTTTTACAAAAATGTTTTTCCTACCATTGTTATGCATTAAGAAAATAAAAGGGTTAAATAGTGGATGTACTGTGATAATCTAAGCTTGTTCTGATGCTTCAACTTAACATACTTTATAGAACCAGGAATTCTGCTCTAATGAACAATGTCTGAATATTAGTTTATGATCCCTGTTTCAAAAAAAATCTTGGGTTATGCTGCAGATTAATGATTTGACATGATCTTAAATAAGCTGTATACACCATAGCATATTTAATGAATTCTGAATTCATTGCGATTGTGAAGGACAAGTAGAAGTAAAAATCACTCACTGACATGCGACAACACGGATTGTGCAGTTGCAGGTTGTTCACTTTTCTTGCACGAACATGCCCACCAATTTGACGCCTGCCCACCAAGTTTCAGCTTGCAACAGTTTGGGGTTTGACTATAGAAAGGTGTGAGGGGAGTCAGCAGAGCAGATGCTCTGTCCTTTCCATCTGAGCAAACATGATACACACAGGTTGCATCTTCTACATCTTTATGCTGGTCATTCTCACTGGTAAGTCTAACTTTGAATACACTGACATTTTAAAAAGTGTTTTTAAAAGTCTTTTTTGATATTCATTTGACAAATCTCCATTACAGGGGCTTCTGAAAGCGGCATCTTTGGAGGCCGCATTTCAAAGCCACACTCCAGGCCCTACATGGCATCACTTCAGTACGGAACAGATCACATGTGCGGTGGCATCCTTATTCGAAAGGACTTTGTTCTTACTGCGGCACACTGTGTTAGTATGTACGTATATTTAACTTAATCCCTAAGTTCAAAGTTTATGTTAATCATAGTATTGTGTTGGTGAAAAGATTTGCTACAGTTGAAACCAGATATTTTCAAACACCAAATAAAAAGAGAGATTTTTCTTCTTACGCTCTGAAGTAAAATCTTAACAAATGTATTTTTCTTTAGTTCCCAACATTATTTCTATTTGCTAAATGCCACAAAGTCACAAAGATTTTTCTTTGTGACTTTCCTTGAATTCAGAAACGCACCTACATTTAGTCAGTATCATGCATAACTGTCTTTTAAACTATATGACTTTTGTCACCTTTTCAATTTTCTTCCATAAGATTCTCACAATAGTTTGTCCTCACAGAACTCAGTCAGGTTTGTAAGCTGCCCCATTGGCACACTCATTTTCAGATATACCCTAGTTTGCTGGTATTTAGCAAATGGAAATAGTTTTGATAATTCTTACTAAGCTAAAACAATTACATTTTATACAGTGATTAAAAATATTGTCCAATGTTCTATTCGATGTATGAAGACTTCTGCCATTATGGTATTATAAGTTCATGCAATATTGGAAATAAAAAAATGCTCTCTAGTTTTAAATGGATTTCCTTCTATTAAGCCACTCATTGGTTATGAACGTTTTAATCTAAAATGAAACTGTTTTCTCATTTTTCAAAACTCAAAGTGACCAAGTGGTGCTTGGGGCCCATAATATCAGTAAGAAGGAGGAAAGTCAGCAAAGGATCAAAGTGGCAAAGTTCAACAGACATCCAAAATACAAAGGTTATCAAAATGACATTATGTTGCTTAAGGTAAGCTAAGATGGGCAAAATGTTTATTTTGTTTTAAGTATTTAGTTCACTGTTAAAATAAATGTTCAATAGAGTGAATGGAGATGCATCAAAATAAATCTGAACAACAGTAATTCAATTCAAAAGCAAAACTTATATGATAGTACTTCCATTGTGTAAGCCATAACTTGACATCCTTTTAAATTATGTGTGTTATGTGACATACTGCATTGTACAATGTGACTTTTGAATTTACACTAGCTGTAAGCTGTGAGCCACAATCATCAAAATGAACAGAAATAAATGTTTGGTCACTCTGCATGATGCATCCAATACTTGACTTTCTGAACTGAGGTATTAAATAACTGTTATTTATTCAAATGCAGCTGTAAAACAAAATATTTTTGCATATTTGTTGAACTTATCACTATGTTGGTTAGTAAATCTTTTATGAATCACAAGTAAAGTTTTAAAGTTATTATGTGCTTTATTTCACAGCTGGAAAATAACGCCAAACTGAATAAAAACGTCCAGCCCATTGAGTTACCAAAGAAAGAAAAGAATATAAACAGCAACCTTGATTGTCTAGTTGTTGGCTGGGGCAAAACTGGACAACATGAACCCATTTCCACTGTTCTGAAAGAAGCGACAGAAAAGACACAATTCAAGGTTGAGTGTGATAAAATCTGGAAAGAGTATTTCATTGCCCAGCAAATGATTTGCACCAAGTTTAAAAAGAACACGGGAGGAATATGCCAGGTAAATTACCTTGAAGCATTACATGCTGTTCATTCAGATGCAGAAAAATATTTTAAACAGCAAATGGTGATCTGTTTTTCTTTTTCAAAAATGTATTATAACTTCTGAAGCATGTAATTCAGGTCTTCTTGCCTTTTTTTCTAGGGTGATTCTGGTGGACCTCTGATCTGCAAAAACAAGCTTAAGGGTATAACTGCATTTACTCTTGAAAACCAATGTGACAATGCAAAGTTTCCACATGTATTTACCAAAGTTGATTTCTTTCTTCCCTGGATCAAAAAGATAATGCAGGAATAAGACCAATGTTGTACCCACTTTATTTTCTTTTAGACTAATAGGTGTGACAACCCTTCATTGCATTGTTTGAAAATTCTTGTTCCAGAAAAAAATGAACAATATATTTAGAATTTTGTTACAATCTACAATAAAGATTCTAACAATATTTATTGTAGTTTTGTTATTCTTTGAAACGATTGATGACAGTTTCAACATTTGTTTCCTTCTCATCCACATATAGAAAAGAGTAACCACAGGGTTGTTGTCTGTAAGTAACGTGGTTGAATACTATAGCTGTGAGGACCCAACCGCAAACTCCCTCACACAAAACACTGTTCATACGTAAACGCTGCCACAACCATCAGTGACCTTTTCATAAATAGGACTCAGAAATTAACTACGCTGCTCAATGAAGAACCATAGTTGATGAAGACCTTTCAAATTTGCAGAATCACAAAGAAAAAATATTTTACCCAAAACTAAAGACTCAAGAACACATCAATGATGCTGTGGCAGCCAGAATAATAGGCCAATGGGAAAAAATCATCATCACACAATTGTCGTATGGGTCAAAGACCCTATTCCATGTCCGACAATGAAGCTGAGAACCTCTAACACTTGCAGTCTCTGCAGTGACTAATTTTTTTTTGTGCTTAGCATTGATAAGCTTTCAGAGCCTTCACGATATTCAGAGAAAGTCTTAATGGGTCCCATAAATTCTAAAACAGCAAGTACATGAATAAATACATAACAATAAACGGATCTTTCTTTCCTTGATTATTCAAAATAAATTAAAATAGTGAGAGAAAAGCTTCTTCATAATACAATGTTAAAACTTAGCTTGATTCTGAAATTTTTGGGTGTTTTTTATGAGGAAAAACCTAAGTCAGACATATTTTTTTTTGCCACCAATAGTGCAAAATTAAGTGGGAGATTTGTGCTTTCTGGTCTGAATACTTTCGGTCTGAAACCAAACAATAGCGTAAACTCTGACTTGTGACACTTTGATGAACTTTGACTGGAAAAAGGGTGGAAAACACAAGTTTCTTTCTAGTCCAAAGTAACCCTTTATATCTCTGTGGTCATTTGGGGAGCCATATTATCTCTTGTGCTTCACAACTTTTTTAATGAGTCCAAAGTTTCTTCTCTCTGCTAAGAAGTTTCATGGAGGTGCGGAATACGTAATCCAGGAGAACTTGCAAACACACCTGCATCATGTCCAATGACCATATGGCATCACTCTGCTTGATTTTAAGGTAAACTAAGCTAAACCACTGATTTGCAAGCACCTAAAAATACCAAGAGAAGTCAACAAAAATCAAATGAATGTACAATATAAAGGTCTAAAAAGTCGATAAGGCCTAAGGTGTTTTTTTAATCCCCCGTCAGGTAATGAAAGAAAACCACCTCACATTGTCACTGAAAACAATGTGGTACAACGTGATCTGGGCTAAGGATTGCATTTCATTTTGTATTTATATTAAAAAGACAAAGTGATTTTGAAATGTTCAGCTAATGAGGTAGTTTAGCCACCAAAACTTCAAGAGATGAACAGCTTTTTGCAGCCTTGACATTCTAATTATTTGGACAGAGTGTAAGTTTATATTTGTGTGTGATCTATTTGTCTCTTACTCTAGAGACAAATTTGAATGCTTTCTCCTATATTCAAATGCTACCACATAAAACTAAAAAAAAAACAACTTTTTGACCAAGAAACGTCAACCCCATAGAATAGAAAGTTGGTGGTTTAAAGTTGTGGTTTCAGTTTCTATGCTTAGTAGGTTAGTCAGCTGTAATATATCATTAAAGTCATCCACCAGAAAGTTACAAAACTGTTAAAAGCAGAAAGTCTAGCCAAAAACAAATATGTTAATGGTCCAAAAATATGGATAAAATGCAACTTAATTAATTTATATATTAGTCAAAAATACACCCAGCAGGAAGAAAAAAACAGCACTGCTGTTTAAAAGCAACAGCAAAGGTCTCTGTGATACAGGTTTCACTCACGCATAAATTTTTTTAACACCTCCCCACCAGTCGATGTTTCCGTTTGTGAGTTTTGAGGCTGAGTACAGAAGGTGTTGAAGGGTCTCTGCAAGCCAGGCTGTTCATCCTTTCCCTGCAAACATGTTACACGCAATTGCCGTCATTTATGTCCTTCTGCTCATCAACTTCAGTGGTAAGAGTAGATCTTTTTTTTTTTGTATGGGAAACAACTTTAAATTATAGATTTTTTTTTTCCAATTTTCAGATGTCCATTTTGGCTTTTGTGTTTAAATAGCCAGAAAATGCCCATTGTTTGCCTGATATGAGGTTTTATTTGACTGAACCTTCACATTTCACTCTTAAAGGGGCAACTAAGTATGGTATAACTGGTGGCAAAGTTGCAAAACCACATTCCAGACCCTACATGGCGTCATTACAGATTCAAGGACAGCATGTATGTGGCGGGATGCTTATTCGGAAGGATTATGTTCTAACCGCAGCACACTGCAAAGAGTGAGTGTGTGGCAACATAAAAAAATATATATATATTGCATTTTACAACAAATTAACATAAAAAGATTAACATTAAGAATAAACTAAAAAGGAAATTAAATATGAATTCTAAAGCATTTGTATCTAAAGTACATCTTTGTTATTACTAGCTGTTACCAAGACATCACGGTTGTCCTTGGGGCACATAACATCAGCACGAAGGAGGGAAGCCAACAAAGGATTAATGTGAAGAAGTACCATGTACATCCGCAATTTAAAGCCGACCAATACGAGTATGACATTATGCTCCTTGAGGTAAGCCCCATTTATACAATTTGTCGTCATTGAAAATTTTGCCATGTCAAATATTTCTGGTACTTTATAATTAACAGTAAGGCCAAATACTATGCATTAGAAACAGACAATTGTGTTTATTCTTTGTGCCATAAATCTATTTTGTGAAATGAACCAGTTCATATAGCAGCTTCCCACCATCAGTATGTGAATGAATGAACACGTGAATGAAATGTAAAGCGACCCCAAAGAGCACTGTACAATTACAGGCCATGTACCATTTGACTTATGCAAGAGAGGATGTTAAAATATTGCAAAGTCAAGATGTAGGATGCAGAAAGACTTGGATCAAAGACTGAATGCTAACATTGAAATAAAAGGTGATCCAACAAAGCATGAGTTGAACAGTATGCAACTTTTATTTTGTAATGTTTTTACTCCAACAGATGTATCTGTCAAATAAAAGGTGAACAATGTTTCTAAACGTTAAATCTAGTGATGTGTACACTTCTGAGATATGCTGTAATCACATAATTGTGGTGCACAATTCTTTTATTATTATGCAAACCAGCTCAAAACAAAGGCTGAAACATATTTGAGACCAAAGGAAACATTTTTAGAAATGACAAAGTAAAAATCCTTAAGACAACAGCTTTGATTTTACAGTAATTCTAATTATACTGTTTTTCTTCTCCACAATATCTTCTCTCAACAGTTGGAAAAAAATGCCAAAGTCAACAACAATGTAGCGACAATTAATTTAGCAAAAAAAGACGAGGACATTCCAGCCAACACCAATTGTGAAGTGGCTGGCTGGGGAAAAACTGGACCAAACGAACCTATTTCAGATGTTCTGATGGAGACCACAGAGAGTATCCAATTCAGCTTTGAGTGCAAACATATCTGGAAAGAGTATTTCAATTCCTCACATATGATCTGCACCAAGTTTAACAAAAAGACAGGAGGAATATGTCAGGTAATCAAGAAATATACCATGAATGAAAATATGAAAAACAAAGCATTTCATTAGGAAAGAAGAGCTGGTTCATTTAAAAACCTAATCAAGTCTTTTTCTTGTCTTTTGTAGGGAGATTCTGGGGGACCTCTTATTTGCAACTCCAAGGCTCAAGGAATAGCTGCTTTTACTTTAGAAAAAAAATGTGATGACCCAAAGCATCCACATGTTTTCACTAAGGTTTGTTCCTTTCTGCAGTGGATGAAGAAGGTGATGAAAGGCTGAGGCAACCTCATTTAATGGAAAGTTTAGTAAAATCTACCTGTAGAAACCTGATAGAAGTGTTTGTGGACAAGATGATAGGATAATAAATCAAGTAGTTCATTTAAAATAAAAAGATACTCCTGAATAATACATCTTGCATATTATCTGTAAAAGATTTATTCCCACGTTACATTAAGTTTCTTTTTGAGTTCACATTTAGGCCAAAAAAATATAAAATAACAGAAAGAGGAAGAGGTGAGGTTGTTTATGTTGCTAACCCTGGTCTCCAACATGTCAACCCACAGATGTGTTGGTAAAAAAAAACAAAACAAAAAAAAAAAACCCACAGACCACTGCTGTTGCATTCGTGGAACTCAGTCATAGTGCAAACTTTTGAAGTTGAACCTTTTTCTGTCAGTAAAGCCTGTCATCTGCAAGGAAATGAAAGGAAAGTTCAGAAATAGTCATTTCATTTCACACTTTAGTCTACATTTGGACCTATATGCTATTTAAACAGTGAGACATTAAATTTTTGAAAATGTTTTAGTGTCAGATTTTATTTCTTAAACTTCCATAAAAAGCAAACACAAAACTCACCTGACTTGAATCTCTGGTGAAATATCTCTTCTCTATTACCTACCAAAAGTCATAAGATTTTTCTGATTACTACAAAACATGACAAATAAGGAAAACTTTTTTGTTTTTATTTAAACGTTAGGTTTAAAAAAATTTACAATGTATATTTGTCTAATTGGGTTTCACTTTCACTTTGTCTGAAGACCACCAAAACAGAGACACTTCAAGTAGCCTTAAAACAGAAATGTTCAGTTGTACTACGACATCCATGATCCACCAGACTGCCTAAAATTAATAAGACAGTGCATTACACCACACAGTTTTCTCACCTTATCAAAGAAACGGCTAAGTTTCACAGCATTTGATGTGCCTGCAGCAAAGTATCTTGGGTTTGTGCAGTCCTGGAAAAACATAGTAATATTCAGCTTTTTTCTCAGGTGGTAAACCACTATGTTTGTTTCCACATGCAGGGGATTTTGGTAAGTAAGACAAAGAGAGTTGAGGAGCGCCTCTCTGCCAGAGTTCCTTTTGTATTTGCTCTATTGACTGATTTAGTACTAATGATTCAGATTAAGCTCATTTTAATACTATCATTTTGTTTCGTAATGAAATATTGTATTGTTTTAATGCCCAGCATTAGCTTCAGGTCACAAACTGATGATGGGAAATTATCTCCTATGATTTTGTGCTAGAAAGTAGAATTCATAAATTGGACCTGGAGTACAGCATGGTCAGCCTAATGGGACGAGACCTCGTCCCATGTCTTTTTTTCTTGATTCCACAGGTCTAACAGTAATCAAGCTTGGGAGTGGCTAGTGAAATTGAGCTCTGCCTTTCAAAAAGTGTTTTTATCCATCCATTTTCCGTGCACTCTGGTCCCTAGTGGGCTCAGGTGCCTTCCTCCAGCAAGACATTTTGGGCGAGAGGCACGGTACAAGGCTATCTTTGTCTCATTGCAAGTTTTGTTTGATGATCTCAAAACATTTAAAGGTGACGAAAAGAAACAAAAACAGGAAAAGTGTGGGGTGGAGAAACATTTCTCAACACTTTATGATAAACTGAATCATAAACCAACAAACATATGAAATATTACTGGATGTAACAGCCTGTTGTTCTAACATCCAGTTTTCAAAGTTCAGTTAAAAAAACAACTTACAAGATTGATCTCCTCTGCGTTAAAATCTTCAGAAAGGAAGGCTGTCCGAGTGAGAACTTCACTGCGTTTGTTCTCTGGAATCTGGTCAAACTTTGTTCCAATCAGCAGCAAAGGCACTGCGTTCTCAACAAACTGTTCTCTGTCATAGTCACTGCATTTACATGAACATAAAAAAAGAAGTAGTTCAGGTCACACGAGTTGCAACTTTTTGCATGCTTAAAGGTTTAGAAAATAATTTGATGATGAAAACCAACCCATTTGAGACAATAACTCCTGTTGGGGAGGAATCCTTATTCAAAGCTTCCATTGACCAGCGGTAGAGATTTTGGGAAGATTTCTTATTTGTTAAATCATGTACCAATATTATTCCTACAAAATGTAAAAAAAAATAAAAAATAAAAATAAAGTCACTTCAATAAGATTTGGGAGCTCTGAACTAGATACAAATCTTTTCTTTATTTTATTTTACCATTTACTGAATTGTAGAAGACTGCTCTGGTGCTTTTGACACTGCTGGCACTGCCCACTGATCCTCCAATGTCCCATAGCTCAATGTAGAAAGTTTTCTCCTCAGGGGTTCCTTCTTTGTAATCTTGAACCTATAATTGGAGTAGATATAAAGTGATATAGTGGTACTTTTGTCAATAAAATAGGAAATTTAGAAGAAGTGTCATTTGGTAGTTATATTTGAATATGTGTGCATAACTCAACATTAAATCTCACGGCATCCAGATGAATGGCAATAATGATTGTGCATGGTAAATAGACTTTTGTTTCATATTGTGCAGCATTTTCCAAATAAATGGTAATCTGACAAGCCTAACAGAATCATTTCCTTTCATTAATGATGTGACATGTTTGCAGTGCTTACCCGTACATCCACAGAACAGCCAACAGTCCAAGAAGGATTTCCAAAAACCTGATTCTGACATATTAAATGGACTAAGGAAGATTTGCCAACCCCTGTAAATGACAAAATAAAAAAAAAAATATATAGAAAGGTTCAATGAAACGATGTGAAATGCATACACTTATATAACAATTCCTGAACACAACAGGTTAGGAGATGTTGGTTTTCAATATCTTTTAGTGCTACTTGGTGTTTGCACTTCCCTTTTGTTGAATAATGCAAACAGACTCGTTTACCAGCGTTTAATAATTTTCCACACAACAGGAAATGAGGCAAAGTCTGTAAGCCTGGAACAAATATTCTGTACAAACTGACACAAAATCCCGTAAAGCTAGCTGGTAATTGTCTCAGTGTCTTTATCAGAAGTCTTTATTTTTTATATCAATTCAAAACAGAGCTTTGTTTTGTTTCCTTTTGATGCGCCAGAAGAGCTGAGCTTACTTATACGATAGTAATATGGCTAGTACTACATTTATCTACATTTGCAACATCCACAAGTGTCATTGCTTTTTTTTTCTTTTTTTCTGCAAATGAGTCATTCATAGCTGCAAAAACAGATTTGTAGTTACAGTTTGTAGGCTCTTAATCAAGATATAGTTTTCACACCACCGAAACTAAGTCTGGATTAAAAGAAAACCAATGATAAAAAAGTAGCTACATATACGTTTGCTGTCATTTGTAAAAGACAAATAGAGCGTATCTTACCAGAATCTCCTAAAACTAACACTTTTACCCTGTCAAGAGAAGCCATTTCTGATGACGAAGAGCACCGGAAGAACAACAAGTTACACCCGCCCTGAAGATAATTTTATGTACACTGATTGGTCCATTCCAAAAGACCTTTCCGCCCAGGGCCATTTCTGCCCAATAGGAATTTAGTAAGAGCTGGGCTATAGTTTTATTTCCGGAGTTACTGTTTCAAGATAATTCTTGAAGCACATTAGCTAAACTTAGCAACTGAAACATTCGGAAGTGTAGAATAATACTGATTGATTTAACGTTTTTGTCTGATAATATGATCGAGTAACTTTAATCTGAAATGGCTTAAGTTAGCGTTTCGATCTGTGTTACTGGTGAAACAGGAAGCGTAACGGGTAAGAGGCTAACGAACTTTTAGAAATGTAGTTACCATGAGGTAAACTCTTATAGCTTGTTTAAATCTGTATGGATATTTATAAACAAACTGTCGCGTGTAAAGACACTGTTATCAAGGGCTTTCCATTAAAGACGAATATCTCGACCAAATTCCTATAAATGTTTGTTCCTTTGTTAGACTTAGCTTAAATGACGCCCAGGTAAATTGTGATTACTTTGTCGCTGCTATTGTATGGTTATATAAAATTAGCCATCATTTTGTATGTTTAGAAACTGAAATCGTAAATAAGTTGGTCAAAATATCCAATTTTCTCTGCTGGCAGTTATTAAAACACTTACTGCGTTTTTGCAGTCTAGGGTATTCATTATTCCTTCAAATTCTGAACTTCATTGAAGCACCGTTACTATTTCATACTGTATTTTTCCTCTCGAATAAAAACAAAACGTCACGAGTAAATGAAACCTAAAGACATTTCAACCTAATGTCTTTAGGTTCAAAAAGTCATAATATTTCAAACCTGATAGTGATTGCTTAAATTTGCTTCATAAAGATATAAACATGAATAAAATAAATTTTATAAATAGTATTCCAATTCTCCAGTGTCCTTCCAAAGCCATAACATTTACAGTATGAATTCAGATTTTTGCAATTTCTGTTTGTTGATAAAAATGAAAATAAAATAAATCAAGCTTAAACATTTATTCTTTGCAGATCTTTTCTTCTATTAATCTTCTTGCTTCCTTTCTTACTTTTTTATTTTATTAGATCGGTCTGGACTTTTTTATAGATATGTTTCTTTCTCCACAGCTAAAAATGATTGAACCTGAGGTACTAACCGAAGTCCCTGCATCGCTGAAGCGGCTGGCTAAGCAGGTTGTAAGGGGTTTCTATGGAGTAGAACATGCCTTGGCTCTGGACGTGCTGATACGTAACCCATGTGTCCGAGAAGAGGACATGCTGGAGCTGCTGAAGTTCGACCGGAAACAGCTGCGCTCCGTGCTCAACACCCTGAAAGCGGACAAGTTTGTCAAGTGCCGTATGAGAGTGGAGACAGCACCTGATGGCAAGACAACGCGTCACAACTACTATTTCATTAACTACAGGTTTGCTTAATTTATTTATGAAGTTCACTCTGCAGCATAGCTAAGATGCATTTAATTGCACATAAACTACAAAACCTGTTTTTTTTTTTTTGTTTAGAGTGCTGGTTAACGTTGTAAAGTACAAACTGGATCACATGCGACGGCGCATTGAGACTGACGAACGGGACTCCACCAGCCGCGCCTCCTTCAGGTGCCCCTGCTGCTTCTCCACTTTCACTGACCTGGAGGCCAATCAGCTTTTTGATCACATGACTGGTAAATACTTGACACAAAGCAGTTTTCCCGAAACACTTCCTGCCTTTTTCTTGTTAAGCATAAAAGACAAAAGTAGATGGACAGTTTTGGGGAAACACAGATATCAAAATCTCATGCACCATTTTGAACTCCTTCCTACTGAGCAGAGTTTTGACAATAATTGATATTTTTATATAATTGGTACTTGAAGAGATCTATGCTCAAAGACACACCATCAAAATTAATTCACAATTTTTTTTGTCTCATGCAGCTTAATTTGCCTCTAGATGGCAGTGAAAGCACATGTTGAAAAATAGCTTGTACTAATGAAATGATTTACTATATCAGTGAACCTGCATTTCTTACTTTAAAATGTTTAATCATATTGAAATGGCTATGAACTCTTTCAGAGATAAATCCATAAAACCACACTATTCTCTTTAGTATATTTTGTGTACATTGTTGCTTAGTTCCTGCTTAGTGGCTTATTCTTCCACACAGATCAGTTCAAACAATTTCACAGGACCTATGTTATGGATATTTGTTGATATGAAATATTTTCACTTCATCCAAGGTTGTTTCAAAAAATAAATAAATTAGAATTTGTCCAGTCATGGTGCCCACCCCTCTTTCCTCCAATCAATTATATGTACGGAAATAATGGAGGGTCACTGAATGTTGCAGCTGTGGGGATTTGAGGGATGAAATTATCTCTAACATGATGTGCACACAAATCTTCAAAAATGTCTTGTTAAAACATGTATTTTTAAAATTCTTTTCTTTATCTATATAAGACTGTACAAGCAAAACTATGAAAATACCAGACTGTTAGGTTAATTATACAGTTACACAGATTTTTTTTTTAAATTACCATGTTTAATTTTTTTACGTTGCATTCTTCCTGTTGGAATTGGGATTTGCCCATAAAGCTTCACACTTACATTTTCTAGAAGTCTCTGATTTCCAGTCATACAGCAGTGTTAAGTTCTTTTTTTTTTTTCCAGATTTCTTTATGTCAGGCAGGTTGAAGGTAGATTTATTCCAAAGAGACAATTCTTCTCTAAAGTATCTATGATTTAACATATCCAAGAAAAGGTTTATAAATGTAGTTGTGCATTAGAGTTGTTCATTGCCCATAAAAGCTTATGCAAAGAACCCAGTACACCTTCCAATTATGCTGTCAATTTGCATTATTGTTGAAATGACACACTGTATTAAATTCAAAGCAAATACTATTATCAGCTGCTTAATATTAGACAAATCTAATTTTCTGGTGTTGACCATATGTCCACCCGTCTCCCTTGATGCCAAATTATTTCCAGCAAGAATAGTAGTCAAATTATTTCACTGTGAAATGTGATAAATTGTAAATCCCATTATACCAGATTCTTCTGAAGAAAATCAACAAAATATGAGCAAAAAAACAAACAAATCACAAAACAAAATTCAAGGATGCTACATATTAAACTACATTAGCATTCACATTTTGCAGCTCCTATGTTGAATAAGGAAGAAACACAGACAAAAAGAAACATGTAGTGAGTTCAAAACATTTCAAACTAACAGTAACAGCATGCATTTCTGCAGAGGGTGAACACAAGATTCACTTTCCCTTTTTAACCGTCATGTGGAGACTGATTTTCATCCTACAGTATCCTCTCAATTTTTGAGCAGTTTCTGAATTAGTTACTACTGTAAAGGGACATTATTCTACCAACCAAAGGAAGCTGTTTAAAATCAAGTAGCCAGATCTCGTAATAGTCTGATGGACTGGTAGCCTCTGCGGGGCCAGCAACACTCAGTGGGATCCCATAGGGATCGGAAATGACAGTGCTGGACTTTCAGTTCAATCTCAGCCTGACCCTCAGAGAAGAGCCAGAACCCTGCAGCTTGAGCAAAACACATCTTTTTTTTCCCCCTTTCCTTGTCAGTTACCTCCATTTAGATTATTTCTTTTTTATTCAACTTGGAGAAATATCAGCATCTTTACTGTTTTGCAACTGCTTTTTTGATTTTCCTATCATGATTACCTCATGATAGGAAGCAATCACATTTATAGGCATCTACCTGGTCATTAACAACAGTTTTTCTCCTTGTTTATTTAAGCAGGCATATCTCTCACTGCCTCAAGCCCAAAATGAGCATGCATTCTTTGATTTGCTCCATCCCTGATGCACACAAAGGGCTAAAAGCAGACATGAGGTCTGTGCTAATGTTGGAATGCGTCCAATTATTGAAACTGAGATCAGGAAGAGAAGCAGATGGTCAGACACATCCTTCTCTTACTGTTTGTAGGCAAAGGGTAGGGTGCACTGCATACAATTTCCAACAGCCCTCAAAAAATAATTAAATGTTTTTAAAATTATTACACCACCCTTCCAGCAAAACGATATGGTTACGTAGGTTACCTGTCGCATATTCTCTCGACACATTATCTTCACAGTCAAGGCTGAGTTAGTGTTTACCTGCTGGTGTGCTATTTCCACCAAGTCAGAGCGCACACAGAAAGCTATTTAAGTAAAATTTTTGTTGTGCAGAGAACAAAAAAAAATCAAGTAACCTTGGAAAAAACATCAGCATCATTTCTGATAATTACTACAGACCAATAAATGGGCAAATCAGCAACCCATTGGACAAAAAAGAAAGTGACCTTCAAAATTGGGGACATCTCTAATTACTGCTCTTGTTTTAGGTGTTTCAGTTTTTGTATGTTTTTTTTTAAAGATTTTTATTTCGTAGCTATTTGCATAGAAATAGCATGCTAATCTATGTTAGATCCCAGAAAAACACCGTGTGTTTTAAGTAATGCACTTTATGTAATCTGCACTTTATGTACAATGGATACACCTAAAAAGCAGAGCACATTGTCATGCATCAGTTAGATGGTCAGAAGAACATATTTCTTATCAAGTTAGCCTGTTACAGTAGCTTCCATGAAATGCAATTTCTTGTTTTAATTCTGTTTTCTGCTTCATTCTGAGTTCTTTGCTTCCCTGCAGGTATGTTTCGCTGCACCTTTTGTCAGACTGAGGTAGAAGAAGATGAATCGGTCTGCCCTGATGCCAGGACACTTGTGGCCCGCTTTAATGAGCAAATCGAGCCCATCTACGCACTCCTACGCGAAACCGAAGACATTAACTTGTCCCATGACCTGCTGGAGCCGGAGCCCACCGAGATCCCCGCTCTCAAACAGAGGTCCGTTCGAAACAAGTCTCACAGCAACACACCACTTACCGCCTCTGTCAGGAAGCGGATTGTAGCTCAACTTTGTATTTATTCATCTGCAGAAATGGAAAATGGCTTTTATGTTTTCATTTTATTGTCGGTGCTTGTTTTATTCTAGAAATAATTGAACTAAAATGTATCATTGTTTCCCTAATCTTGTTGTTTTTTATTTTGCTTTTTGAAATTGCATCTTTTTTTCCTTTAGCCGTGAACGAGCTGCAGCTGCTGCAGGAAATGCTGCAGGCGGACCACATCGCGAAGCCTGGTCTAATAAGGGATCAACCTACGCTGATTTGTACATCCAGAATGTAGTTATCAGCATGGAGGAGCAGGATGACCAAAAGAGGCAGGTCAATGAGGGCAAGCCCCTGAAGGAGCGGCCCGTTTGGTTGACACAGAGCACGGTGCAGGGGGCTTACAACGAGCCGGATGCTCTCAAGACCCGTGAGTGAATTCGTCTTTATGTGAAACATTCCTCTGTGCCCTGCTTTCTTTCTGTTCAGAAAAAAGTTAGACTTTTTTTCTTTAGCTTTTGCTTATAGAGTCATAAAAGGTACAGTTGTTCTTCTCTCTTTTTTTTTTCTTTCTGTTGTTCCGGTTCTCTGGTTTTTCTCTTCAGTGAGTTGAGGTGAGAAGAGGGATTTAGAGCAAAACTGAGGATCAGAGGCTTGAATAACCCTATTGTTCTGGCAAATTGGACTTCAGATGTTCTTCTGGTCCAACATAAATCTTCTGAGCCTTCCTCAAGTCGGTCAGTCACTGCTGTTGAAGTAGTGGGGGCTCTTGACTTTCTCTACTCAAAGTCAGAGTAGATAAGTGGGAGGCTGCCAAATGGCCCAGATCCACATCACGTGCTGTGTTGCTCTTACTGGTTGTAAGTCTAATTATTTGGGTCCAGAGGCATTTTGGTCCTAATCCCCTGATAATGCCTTTGAGAAATCGAAATTCAGCTAATGGGTCCTGGAATGACTTCATTTATTTAACTGTGCTGCCATGTCTTTATGTTGGTGAACTGTAAAAGACTTTTTTTTCCCAAATACATCATATTTTAAAACATTCTTTATTGAAAGCCTTCTTTCATGGCCTTATTGCTCATAAATCAACTTCACAGAATCTAGATATAAAATGGCAATGAACGGTTTATTTGTTCCCATTTTTCTGTGAACCTGAATTTTAAATTACCAGCTGTATGTTTAGGTACATTGTAAGTAACTGATTATTTTAGCAATCAAATATTCTATTGATTATTCTGAAAATTAATCGAGTTAAAAATAATTTTTCATCTGACCTCTTAAGCTTATTTTAGACATTAGAAATACTTAAAAAAAATCCTTTTATCAGATAAGAAAACAAACATTTTCTTCCCTAAAATGCAATAAGAGCATTTCTTTGTGTATGTTTGATCATTTGTAGCAGAGGACGCATCTGCAGCAAAAAAAAATATGTTTAACATCAACATGTGAAAAGCTCTGCTGTTTCTGACCCTACATCAGACAGCTGTTTTGAGTATTAATCATTGGATAGCAATCATTAATACTGATTGCAACTGATTAATCATTAATCAGTTGCTGCTAATGATCAGCTTCACTTCAGAAGTAAGTGAAGCTGAAACTATTCCACTTAAAGAGTGACAAAGAATTTTTTTTTTACCTTAAATGCAAAAACTATAAATTTTCTTTTACTGTTTTAGATTAATTACTCCTCTGAGTATGTTGTTCTTTCAACAAATTACCTTTTTTAAGTGTATTAATGATTAATAAACTACCTAATTAATTGACAATTATTTCACTAGTCAACTAATCTTGATTAATCTGATTATTTGTTTCATTGTCCTGCTGGGGGATGAATTTTTTTATTTTTCTGCAGTCACTTACAGGTTGTCTTCCAGGATTGCTCTGTATTTAGTGCCAGTAATTTTTTGTGGATGCTGAGCAAACTACAACCTCAAGACCTGAGTGGTCCGGAAGGTTGATACAATAACCTTCCTTTAATGTGTTTCAAAGCTAAGCCATTGAGTGAGGTTTATTTTTCTTGGGGAAATTTTTCCAACATTTTTTCTTCCACAGGTGGCGACATTGCAGCCGGAGCTCAGGACGGCGCAGCCGGTCACGGAGCAGGCCAGGCGGACGAAAACGAGGAAGTAATGCGCGCCCTGCTCATCCACGAGAAGAGAGCTGTCGCCGGAGCAGGTGTGGGTGGAGCGAGCGCAGCTGCCAGGGGTCTTGCCTCTGCCACAGCTAACGCCAGTGACTCAGAGAGCGACACCAGTGAATCAGAGGACGACCTCCCCTCAGGCCCTACCACTGCCACAACCTCTCAGCATCGCGCCGTTGAGGAGGTCGAAGAAGAGGATGACGACGATGACTTTGAGGAGGTGGGGGATGAGCCGATGGTGATGGTGGGGGGTCGGCCGTTCTCATACAGAGACGTGAGCCAGAGGCCGGAGCTGGTGGAGCAGATGTCTATGCAAGAAAAGGAGGCTTACATTGAGATGGGACAAAACCTCTTCCAGGAAATGTTCTTCTGAAGACACAGAACTTTAGATACTTTGAGTTGCATTCATTGACTGATGTTTCTGCTGTCTTACACTGTCAGTGGACAACTGATGAGGAAACAATATGCTGCTCCATAAACTTCAGGAAATGTTTGGTTTGCCAGTATTTTTTGCACCGGCCATATTTGTAGTATTTCTATTCGAAGTATTTTCAAAAGTCACCAAACAATAACAAACTTCAGTCTGCCAGCTGCGCTTTCTTTCTTTTATCATTATTGTTTGCTTCAATTCAAAATTAAACAGTTCATCTTTACCAGAAATGTTTTAGCCATTGCTCTTTCATTTACCGGACAGAAGGGACACGTTTGCTTTAATCGATGCAGCCGTCTACACACCGGCATATATCTCATGCCTCCAGTCAGTTTTGTTGAATGGGCATAATTGCATTGATTGCGTGAGAACTGGTGAAAGTTATCTGAGCACTTCACAGTGCGGGGATTGGACGCTGAAACACTGAACAAGCGACTGCTGCTTTCATTATCCCGCCTGTTCAGATGATGTGAGTCAAATAATTTTCTACAGTTCAACAGGCTTGGTCTGAATTCTCATCTCAGGCAAAATACAGAGATATTGTTGTGTTCCCCACAGTAACACTGTTACTGTTGTGGGAAACAGTGAAACATTTGAAACTTTGAGATACTTGTAATAAAATATTACTGCTACCCTGACTAAATGTGTCTATAAGTTAAATGTGATGTTTGCAGGTGTTAATTATTAAACAAGGTGTCTTTTTTTCTATATGTTATTATGGGACACAGTTCTCTCAGCCAATCTAAAATTAAATCTCATAAATGTTTTATGGAAGTAAAAGTAAGGATTTGGCTTTATTGGGAAAATATGTGTGTGCACAATTATAGGACAACCATGACTTGAGTGGAGGATTATTATGCAGCTGATTGAATAAGGAAGCTCAATCTGAAATGCATGCTTTAATCTGTTGAAGTTTTATTCTGTTCACGGGTTCAAATTTACAAATAAGCATTTGACACCTTCTGTTTGAGCAGGGATTAGAAGTTCTTAGTTGATGTGTGAGTCGTCATTTCTTTTCTTTAAGGCCTTTGACTGGCCAGTTGTGTTGTGAAGTACATAAATGTAGGTGAAGGATTATTGCTGTTCATAAAAATAATGGTTTGCTTGAAAGATGCAGACTTAGTTTCCTGCACCACTGCTTTAAGTGTCATGTAAAAGCTATGTAGGTTTGGGAGTTTGTTTTTGAGTCTATCTTCAAGATGAAAAGATCCAACTAGCTCATCTTTTAGTAATGCCAAACTCCACAACCACAATTTTTAAATGGTAAAGTTCTATCCTGGTCATTTAACTTTAACCCAGTCAATGCATTGGAAGTGCAGGAGGAGGAAAAATCTTACCTGTTTCCTGCTGCAGAGACCCGGACTTAAAAGGCAGAAAAGTAAAGATTTGTTTAATTTCATTCAGCTGAGAGAAACCTTCCAGTCATTCCTTTTCTTACTTGTCAGATCAGATTCCTGAGGATAATGTGAGATTTGCTTCGCAATCACTGCTCTAGTGTAACCACAGCATCTTTCAGCATGAAGTGACCCACTCACACAGAGAGAAATGTCCCCTCAAAGCCAAGGCCTACATTCTGACAAAGCCATTGTATTTGCATAAAGATACGCCAATGTTGCACTTGTCATGTTACCGACTGTTTTAATATTCTGCCTTTGCTGTATCTTTTATTTTGTAGTGACTTTTTAAATATTTTTTCTCTGAATGTGAAAATAATAGAAATTGTTGGAATGCATGGGGGTTGAGGTAGAAGAGGTTGCCAATTTCAAAACAAGCAGAATTTTGAAGAAACACGTAAGTTCACTGATTGGAGGGCAAACTTCAAGCTTGAAGGAGGTTTTGTTAAACAGCCTATCCTGAATGTGCAAGCGCATCACTGAACCAACCAATCAGCAAACTGTGACTGAAATGTAAAACACAAAGGTCATAGACAAAAACATCAATTTAATATCTTAGATTTCTTAAAAGAAATAATTATTTTATTCTAGTAAGATGTTTAACTTTATTTGTTAAACTTTTCAGGAGGCAGTATATCTCCATCTTTGGATATTTCAAACAAGACTATTTAATAATGTAAAAAAGTCTTGCTTTATATTTTAAGTACTTTAATGCTTTCAACAGTTTTCTTTCAAAAGTTTCTGTTGAAAGAAAACTGCTGTGGTCTAGCCTGTTAATATTTTTCACCAAGATTCTATTCCTTTTCACACTGATAAAACATACATTGAAATGTGTCTAGTACTTAATCACAATAAAATAAAAAGCCTTTGGTACATATTAAATTCAAGTTGAAAATGTCATCCTTTGCAGACGACTGTGCGGAGGTAAAAACCTCTGGGGTAACCCTACAAGCCCATACATTCTTTTTAAGTTAGAGGATGGACACCTGTAGAGAAGAACCTCAAAGGTCAGGATGAAAACAGGACCAGGGCTCATTAAACATCCCCTGCCCTTCAGGACAGCTCAATTAAAAAGCTGAGCCCATGCTGTTCCATTGATCTACCAAGGCAGGTCTGGGTCACAGGGTGGGTAAAAAAGAACTCTGGGGGGAATCCACAAAGCTGCAAAAAGTCACATCACCTGATAGAACAGGTGGGTTTGTGTTTTAATAAGTTAGAACATGAATCACTGAGTTTAGGACCCACACCTTGTTCATGACATTTTTTTTGTGATACATAACTTGATTTCCTTTTTTCTTTCTGTAATAAAAATAGTTTACAAAGAGGTACTCAGGGTTAAACAGAATAACAAAATCATATTTGACTTGGTCTGAATGAGGAACACAGTAGGATCTGACTGGTTTGTGTGAGTGTGGGAGGAGCCACACAAGGGCAGACTGTAATGAGTGATGCCTCACAAGGTTTGTTTGAGGAGATTACATAAAGATTGATTGACTGCAGGTGTCTGTCACTCTTGATCTAATGAAGCCTAAAGATTAACGACTTAATAATCGACCCCGTTTGTCTGTCTGTCACTCAGCCACAGCAATCTCTTTTGATCCCTTACTTTGAGCCTTTAAAAAGAAAGTGGTCAAATTAAAAAATTAACATCACAGAAAGATTTAGAATAGAGAAGCAAGGGCCATTGCTAACTTGCATATTTTGGGTCAGGGTTTTCTTCAGCTTTCTCTTTTTCATTCTTGCTCTAACCTATATCAAATTGTTTATTAATCAAGGACTCATAACTGAATGCAATATGCAACAATAATAATTCAAGCATGCATACATATTAACTTTTTAACCTGATGTGAAGTGGCTTTCTGCTTCACTGTGACTATTTAAACATAAGAACAGAGTTTAACACTGTTCATGTTGCAGAGATGATATATGATGATAAGACTTTCTTTCAGCAATTATGTTTCTGAAAAAATACACTACCAATATAGTAGCACTAATTAATTCATAAGTTTATTCATCTTTGAATTATGATCTCTGTCATGTTACCAAATACAGTTTTCCAGTTTCTCCATAGATAAATATAGAGAGATATAAGATAAACAGCTGCTGACATTCATAACAAGACACGTTAGATTCTACTGTTTAATGTCACATGCATGTTTTGGACTGTAGACTGAAAACCCAACACATGCCCAGGCCGAAAGGCCTGCTGAGATTTAAACCCAGAACCTTCTTGCCATGAAGCAGCATTGCTTGCTATTACACCATGCCTCCTCTCATAAATTGTAATAATATTTCCCCCCTTCTCATTTAATATTTTTTGCACAGTTTGGATCATTTGACCCCAAAAAATGTCTGTCACAGTTTAAGATATGCCAAAGAGGGATGTTTTAGGTTTGTTTTAAATAACAACACCTCAAGTATGACAGCATTCTGTGAACCTATGAAACTTATGGTCGAATTTTCAACAAAGTTGTGAGCGGATACAGTCAACAATTTATGAAGGAAGCCAAAAGGGGACAAAAACCTTTGATCTTCTATCAATTTCCCAGTTTGTCCAATCTACGTCTACCTCTTTTGTTGCCGGGAGGAATAGTAGTAAAATGTTATACAACCTTAGAAAACATACTCATACTTAATCCAATTAAGTACTTTGTTAGCAAATTGTTTAGTTTTCCCTTTGACTGCACTGTTCTTTTTTGGAAGGTAACAATTTAGCACTCACCTGAACAATCAAGCCTGAGAATTAAAACAGTGAGTTGCTGCTGTTGCTGCTAGAAGTATAAACATGTGACCATGATAAAAAAATGCTTAATTTAACAAATAATAAATACAAATACAAAATATGCAAGAGGAAATAGATCACTATAATATTTGGTTTGAGTCGTATTCTGGTCCTGAAAACCCACGGGGCTTTTGTCACATGTGGCTTTGTAAAGAATTTGTTGCTTTAAGAATAACAGGGTTAAACATTGGAGGACTTTATGTATTATAAGCAGTATTTTTTGGAATGAATCTTGAAAATGTATAAAGAACCACTAGAAAAAAGAGAGAACAGAGTAATATAATCTCCTCTGACGGTATGTGAAAGGAATCTGGCCACAGCATGCTGGACAAACTATAATCTCTTTAAGGAGCTGTTGGAACATCCAGTTAATGTAGCAGTGTAGTTGTCAAGTCAAGTTGATAAAATGCCAGGGCTATATATCTGAATCTCTTTGAAACAGTAGGTTTCTTATTTTGCAGGTGCTACAAGGGTGAAAAAATACACTTTTTTGGTGAGTTGTTTAATGTCACAAATAACAGCTAAGTCTTGTTTAAAATAAACTTCAAGGTATTTCATATTGGTATTGCCAATGTCAGTTCATCAAGTGATTACCTGATCATTTTAAAGTTTTTTTATGACCAAAAATCAATATTTCCACAATTTCTCAAATTCAGCTTGAAAAAATCAATTGACATTCCAGACAAGAAAGGGACTTCAGTAGGACATTTACTTTCAATATGACATTGACTTTTGACTTCTATAATATAATACACAGAGTGTATTAAAGTAATAGAATAGTTTATTACTTTAATACACAGAGTGTATTAAAGTAATAGAATAGTTTATTACTTTAATACACAGAGTGTATTAAAGTAATAGAAGTCAAAAGTCAATGTCATATTTTCTGATAATGTAGCCCAAGGGAAGCAGGCATAAAGAAACACAATTGGACCTAGTGCTGGACAGTCAAACCAATTTCTTTAAATCTGTTGAATATGTAATTTTCTCACAATAGATACCTTTTTCATAGTTTTCGGAGTTGTTAATTTTGGATCATAAAGATTATAACAGATCATAAGTGTTTTTCCTGCCCGTATGTGCCCTATTGTGCATGCACAGCTAAAGATTAAACCAAGACGGATTACACATCTTTGATTAAATGTATGCCATCTGAAGGCAAGTTTTGAATGGAAGGTTTGTTTTGTTGTGGGTTACAGTGACCCTTCAGCAGCGCAAGCATGACAAATGTTTGTCCTTTTTAGAGGCTGTTAACCTTTTATCGAAGGATTCACATCCATTAATCTCCTTATTTATTCATGAGAATCTTTGAACTTGTCCACACTAGCCAAGGACAGTAATGCATCTGAGGGAGTGTGTTTTGTTCAGCCTGATCCCAGATGTGGCACTCTCTTCCCCTGTTTATTTCCTAAAATTGCTAACCATCATGTTTCATCAAGAAAGAGAGAGCAACAGC